ACACACACACACTCACACACAGACACACAGACAGACAGACAGACAGACAGACACACACACACACACTCACACACAGACACACAGACAGACAGACACACACACACACACACACACTCAGGGCATGGGTATCAAAGAGGAATGTTAACTTACCAAATAACCTTTTAAGTTCAGCATCTGGAACATAAAATGGCGGGCCTAAGAGAAAAAGAGTCTGGTGAAGAATAGTTTATCTCTCCAACTCTAATTCTGAAAACAAACAAATTTGTGGGATTCACCTCTCAGTTTAATTTCAGTCATCTTATGGAGACTTATTCTATAAACTACTCAGAAATCCAGAGAGGTGAGCATTTAGCAGGACTTTCTAGTGTGTGTATACATGTGTTTGCGTGTCTTAAAGATATAGAGTCTTAAGTTGTTGGGACCAATTGGGTTCCTGGCCTTCAGCTGCTAGAGCCTTCTAATGGAAGTTACTAAAAGCTGTGCTTTGCCTAGAGGATCAGAGGATGGGATTATTACCTGTTGGCCACTGACTGCAGGGTATTTAAGCCTCCATGGTACTATTAAAGGAGGGCTTTTGGTACCAGTGATTGAAGGTCTGTGTGTCGGTCTGTCTCTGCGTAAGTATTCTTAACCTCCAGCCCCTTTCCCGAAGCTCGCGAACTGCGATCTAGCGCATAGAGCGCAGACCGGGGCAAGTGGCATTATGTAGTTCAGGCAGGCCTCAAACTCACTGTGGAGCCAAGGATGATGTTGAGCTTCTGACCCCCTACCTCTATCTCCCAAGTACTGAGATTACAGGCATGTACTGTCACATCTGGTTTACACAGTGCTGGGGATCAGTCCAGAGACTTCCTGCAGGCTAGGCAACCAACTCAGCTACATTCCTTTTCCCCCGACCTGGCTTTTGTATATCTCATATCAGAGATCAGAGTGGAGCCCATTGACATGTTCCTCTAGGTGTCCTTTGCCTTCCAGGCTGTTGATTTCGGCCTTTTGACACTACATCCCTCCCACTCGGCTGTGGGACAGGGACTTGCAGCATCTTCCCCTCTGTCCTTTAGAGCTGTGCTGCTTCCCAGGGTGCCTTCCCTGGGCCTCCTGCTCATGAGCAGAACTTAAACGAGATGAGCAGAGCTCACTTCAGCCTCCACTGACTTCTCCTTCCTTCTGACTGCCTCAGACAGAATTACAGACACCAAGACTCATCTTTTAATGAGTTTTTCAGACCCAAGGTTTTCAAATAGAACAAAAGACTACCACACATAAATATTAATAAAATGGGGCACTTAAAAAAAGCTCAATTAAAAATCAAACAATGCCAGACACACTAGCTCATACCTGAAATCCCAATGACAGGATCAAGAGTTCAAGGCCACTCTTGGCTACATGAAACTGCCCCCTCTCAAAAACCAACAAACAACCCCAGCTACGGTTCCAGCACTCGGGAGGTGGAGGGAGAAGGATACTGAGTTTGGGATCAGCATGGGCTTCATCATGAGACACTGCCTCAAAAACAATCAAGCAGCCAACCAACTAACCAACCAATCAACCAACATCCTTCTCCCTCAACAAGAAAACCACCAGGATTCTTACAAATTAAAAGTCTAAATACTTGATTTTAACTCCTTCATGAAAATACAAGCCTGTCCAAGGCAAACACTAAGCTCCAGTGTCCAAGGCTGGGAGGTAGTTCTGTGGGATAGCACTTGCCTAGTACCTGTAAGGCCCTGGGGTCCATCCCCAGTACTGAGAAAGCTTCCTCCCAATGCAACAAAATGAGTTGCCGTGGAATGTGAATAGCTGTCGCTGTGATTGGCTTAGTAAAGAAGCTGACTGTCAATAGCTGAACAGAGTAAGGTTAGGCAGGAGAGCCAGACTAGGAGAAGGTAGATGGAAGTTTCTGTTCCGCCCAGTCCTGCAGCCATTCAGTCCAGAAGAAACAAACAGAGGCTTATATGAATTATAAACTACTTGGCCTATCAGCTCAGGCTTATTATTAACTAGCTCTTACAACTTAAATTAACCCATAATTCTTGTCTATATTTAGCCATGTGTCTTGGTACATGGAATTCTCATTTTTCTTCCTCTGCCTCTGGCTGGTGACTGAATCTCTGCCTTTCCTCTTCCCAGAATTCTCTTAGTCTGGTCATCCCGCCTATACTTTCTGCCTGGCTACTGGCCAATCATCATTTTACTAAACTAATACGAGTGACTAATCTTTGCAGTGTACAAGAGCATTATCTCACAGAAGGAGAATGCTGGGAGGTAGAAGGACAGAGTCTGGAGTCACCAGGAGACACAGAGGGTGCAGGAGATGAATGTACCATGCTAGTAAAGGTACCACTATGTGGCAGAGCATAAATAAGGAATATGGGTTAAAATGTAAGCGCTAGTTAGTTATAAGCCTGAGCTACTGGCCGAACATTTGTAAAATCTGAGTGATTATTTGAGAATGACTGTGGGAAAGGAAAACTCTGCCTACAATGAGTCAGAGGAACCATCATTTCCAGAGATTGAAAATAATCAGGCCAGGGAGGAAGCTCAGTGAGAACAGGCTTGCCTAGCACTGACAATGCCCTGGGTTTGATTCTCACTGATGCCAAATGTTACACAAAACAAACAAAATCAGAGAGACAGTAGTAACATCCAATAGATAAAACCTAAGATTAGCTAGGAGTGGTGGCCCATGTCTACAGTCCAGGCACTTGGGAGACTGAAGCACAGAGATCTTGAGTTTGAAGCTAGCCTAGGCTACATAGTAAGTTCTAGACCAGGCTGGGCTTTAAAGTAAGATTTTGTTGCAAAAACAAAACAAAAGCACGCCATTTGAGAGATTTCCCCACAACCCCCACAGTTCCTCATGCCTCTTCCCCTTCTGTTTGAATTCCTGTGATGGTGTGGGAGAATTTTCTGTTTTCTGTCAATCATATTTTAATAAAATGCTGATTGGCCAGGCAGGCAGTATAGGCAGGAAAGCCAGACAGGAAGTAGGGGTGGAGCAAGGAGAACAGGAGAATTCTGGGAAGCAGGGAAGTTCCTCTGCGATTCCTGCGCAGACCATCGAAGAGGCAACATGTAAGCTGTCACACTGAGAAAGGTAATGAGCCCATGTGGCTAACATAGATAAGGATAATGGGGTAATGTAAGTTATAAGAGGTAATAAGAAGCCTGACCGAATGAGTCAATCAGTTTATAACCTTATGGAGTCCTGTGTGTAATTTCTCTTTGGGATTTGCCGGCTGTTGGGGTACCGGGCGGGACGGAAACCCCAACAAGCCGGCCCTCATGTTACACTGTGAGAATGCATTTGAGTGTGTATCAACATTCGCTTCATGCAATGCCACCTCTGGGAGCAACACAGTCATGCAATGCCCATAGCAGGGCAACCATGCAATGCCCACAGCAGAGCAATAACGCAATGCCCGTAGAAGGATAGCCACACTTCTTTCTTCTACTCTAGGACCCTGAGCTATCTCTTTACATTAGGATCATCCATTTCCCCCTTCTACAGTTTGAACTATGACTGATGAACCAAACAAGAAAGGAATATAAGAAAACAAGGACTGTGTGGAAGAGCACAAAGGTTTACTATTCTCGTTATCCCAGAATTATCTTCACACACATAAGCAGTACACATCCTATGAGATAAGATGGGGAAGAAGAAATAATAATAGAACTAAATCAGGGAACAAAGCAGACAAAACAAGTGTGGCTTACCTGCATGTTTCGTTGGATCATAAGAAAGGATGGCCACGAGGTAGTGAAACTCTTTATTCAGTAGGGACAGTATTACATCTGCATAGCTAGAAAGGGCACAAAAAAGTATGTTTCATTTCTCTATACAGACAGAGTCTGGAGGGGACAAAGGGCAATGAAGGAAGCCAGCATCTACATATACACTACACTACTACCTGCAGTGAAATTCTCCTAGTAACCATATAAACCTGTATGGTGGTTTCAATGAGAATGGGTCTCCAGGGGCTCACAGATTCGAGCACTGGTCCCCAGTTAGTGGAATTAAATGGGAAGCATTAGGAGGTGTGGCCTTGTTAGAGGAGGTAAGTCACTGGGGTTGGGCTTTGATGTTTCAAAAGTCCATGCCAGGCACAGCTAGGTCCGGTCTCTCCACCCCCCTATTCTCTCTCTCTCTCTCACTCTCGCTCTCGCTCTATCTCGCTCTCCCTTCTACAGATCAGGATGTGGGCTGTCAGCTACTGTTCCAGGGATGCTGCCAGGCTCCCCACCACGATGGTCATAGACTAAGCCTCTGAAACTATAAGCCAGCCTCCAATTCAATGCTCACATTTATAAGCTGCCTTGGTCATGGTGTCTCTTCACAGCAACAGAACAGAATTAAGATGACCTGGTTCTTGTGCCCCAGGTTGGCCTCAAATTCACTAGGTAGCCAAGGTTGACCTTCCACTTTCTAAGTGCTGGGATTATAGGCCTGCAACACCACCTAAGTCGATGGCTGGATGAGGGTGGGAACATGGACTTTGTGCATGCCAGGCAAGGTTTATTTTATGTGTGGGTATTTTATATGCATGGATGTCTGCGTACCACCATATACATGCAACTATGTAGGGGTTCTTTGAAAGAGTTAATATTTTACTTATGTATAATTGTGTGTCTGTGTATTTGGGGAGGGGTATATGTGCATGTGAGTACTGGTGTCCAGGGAAGCCAAAGGCTCTGATCCCCCTGGAGCTGGAGTTGTAGCCAATTGTGAGCCTTCTGACACGGGTACTGGGAGGTGAACTTAGGTCCTCTGGAAGATCAGGATGTGTTCCTAACTCCACAGCCACCTCTCCAGCCTCCAGGGGTTCTTATTTAAAAGCAAGAAATGTATAGAACAAATTATGTCCCTCGGCTCCCCACCAGAGCTAGGAAATAGTGAAGAGAAGAATCAAGCTGAAGCCTTCTCCCAGGGTAGGTCGGTTATGAAGACACCGCAGGACACACAGAGGCTGATACGGTCCTACGGGACCTGGTGGCCTCGCCCAGATGGTTCCTGAAGGACTACCAATCCACGTGTGCTCAGGGGCAGGGGCTCCCAGACCAGGCTGGGGATCAAAAACACCAGACACATGCTAGAAGGAAAGATGCTTCAATTCTGCCCACAGCTTGACTGAGTAGGTCTGCTGTTGGGTTTGGGAAGCTGACAATGAACAATTATCACGCATGACTAGGACGCCACTAGAGACACGCATAGGAGGGGCAGAACAGAATCCCTTTCATCTGGTTTGATGGAGCGGGGAGACTAGGCTACAGGGGAGTTTGAGGTGACGGAGCATCAAAGCTCTATAAAGACGGCATTAACCACTGGTGCTGTGGACAGTCCATGAGTGGGTGCCCCGAAGAGCGGGTGACACAGCTTCCCAGCCATGTGTTGGTGCAGAAGTGGGCTGTGACGCTGATGAAGCAGTAGACCGATCAGGAAGCAGGTCTGGGCCTGGTACGGGGTGATGAGGGAGACTGAGGAAGTAGAGAGGGACTGATCGTCAGCCATGGTGGCTACGGTGAAAGCTATATACAGCATCTGTGCTGAGTGGTGCCCAGAGCCGAGGAGGCTGAGTGTCGTTGGTGAGTCAGATATGTGGGAAGAGAAACAACAGAAGCATACTAAGGGTGGGGATACACACCACAATCTTAGGAGCTGGGAGGCCAAGGAAGGAGCACCTCAAATTCCAGGTCAGCCTGGGCTAGTTTGAGGATAGGCTTGGTTTCATCTTGAGACTTTATCTTCAATTTTTTTTTTAATAAACGAAAGAAACAATAAAGTAATCTTTTGAGCAGAATTCTTCACCTTTTAACTTTCTGACACCCCCCACCCCCACATAGTCTCAGGCTGGCCAGGAACTCACCATGTAGCTTAGGCTGGCATCAGATTGCCAGCAACCCTCCTACCTGAGCCTCTCCCGTGCTGGGCTTACAGATGTGAGCACCACAGCTGGTGTGGCTCTTATTCTTAAGAAGCAGGAAGAAGAAACCTGTCCCTAGAAAGGTGATCCATCAGAGTGGCTCAGCCCTGCCTCCTGGAACTGACAGCCATCAATCCTCTAGGAATGTGGACTTTCAATCAACCTCAAACAGAATCTAGAAGAGTGGGGCTGGAGAGATGGCTCCGAGAAAGCACAAACTGCTCTTGTAGAGGACCGAAGTGCGGTTCCTAGCATCCACATTGTCTGGCTTACAGCTACCTGCATCTTCAGCTCCACGGTATCCAGTGCCCTCTTCTGACCTCCATGGTCATCCACCATACATGCACACACACACACACAAACAAAAGAATTAAACATCTCAAAGTAATTAATCCTGATAACAATGTCCAACATGCTTGAGTGTTTTTACCCTGTGACCACACAGACACACATGGGGGAGGGGTGATAGGGGAAGAAGAGGCAGAGCAGGGGAACAGGGAGGATCGTGACTCTTGCCCAGCTAGAACTTGGTTCTCTGAGTAAGCTTCCCCTTGGGTGCCACTTGCCTTGTTAGCCATGAACAGAGGGCCAGAGTCCAGTAGGGTGGCCTTCCCAGCTAAGGTCAGAGGAGCTGATGCAAGAAACGGTACATTTGTCTTGCCTGATGCACAGCTTGACTGTCTTCATTTAGTCACAGCAATTACGGATATCTTACCTGCACTAAGTGCATATCAGGTCTAATACTAAGAGAACAGCCGAGTCCACTGAACCTGCTTTCCCTTTGATCTGAACTCAACAGCCTGCTCTCTCCCTGGCAACCTGTGAATTTTTATAGAGCAAACCAAAACCCATGAAGGAACCAATCCCAAAGAAACAGAGGAACATCCTGGAGAGGGCTCTGGAAATAGCTGCAAACTTCAGCATTTTGCAGAACTGAATGTGGTCCACAAATACAGTGTGTTATGAAGACAAAGGGATTTCAGGTGATGCTTTGTGCTGAGGAAGAACACGAACGCCATGTGGGAAATGCAGGCCATGTGCTGGAAATGTGATGTGGATGTTTGGAAGAGTTGCGTGACAGAAGAACCATTGTGGCAAAAGTCACGCCCACTTCCCCAGCACCTGACATAGGGGACATCTAAGAATCCAATAGGAATGTAACAAGTAGCTGTTGAAAAGCTGAATGCCAGGAACAGAATTCAAATGATCGTTCAGGAGCAAGTACGGCAGAGAAAAGCCCAGATGAGTATGCAGGGTGGGGTGGGGTGTAGGAGGGAAAGTGAGAGGAGGGGAGAGGAGAGAGAGAAAAATTATCAGTGAAAAAGAAAATATGTATAATTCTGGTGTGGGATGTTCTAGTTTTCAAAGATTAGGTTTGGCAATGGCCTTATATATGAAGCAATTGTTTTTTTAAATAAAAAAAAATATGTGTCACTGACATGGAGCTTGAACTTTTTGGCCACGTGTGAAGAGCCTGTCTCTGTGTAATGAGTAATTCAGTATCTAACCGGCCAAATCTGAAGAGATGCCTATGCAGCATTTACACAGGAAAAGGGGAATTGCATTTCCCTCACACGCTTTCTTAATTTGACTTTCTAGCAAGGCTAGGTATAAATAGGATCACTCAAAGGATCAACAAGTGCTTTTGTAAGTTCAGCCAGAGTTAGTAGCACATTTCTCATGGATTTCCTTGCTCTTTTATTTAGGAGACATAGTCTCATGGCCTCATTATGGCCCAGGTTCGCCTTGGACTCCCTGCAACCTGCCACCACACTTGGCTCACATTTTTTTTTTT